ATCAGCCAATTTAACTAGGATGACTCACCACTTCTCAGGAATTAGATCATCCCCAACCCCAGATACATGGAGATAATAATCTGAATCCAACTCCCAGAGAGCAGGTTTCCCTTCATGTGGTTGGAAGTAACCTAAAAATCTGGAAAAAGAACAATATATTAAATATTTAAAATATTAATTATTTATTCAACACTAGATTAACCAAGGGACAGAGGAATAATACAAGTTTATTGCATCTTGTTTTTCACCATTTGTGTAAGCATTGCTATAATATCGTTTTATGGACTTCAAAAACTCTCTTGATTGTGTTGTTGCTTTCCACTTTCCCTGCCTCTCTGGAAACAAGTGTCATTCACCAAAATATATACACTTGTACTATAGCATAAGAAGATGGAGTGTTACGTACCTGAGTAGGACACGTAATTAAACACGATCATAGTAGATAGAAAAGACAATGAACAAATGATAATGGACGAATGAATCTCTTTTATTGATGATAATATCTGAATAAACAAAAGTAGACAAGATAATTGGGAGCATAACCTCCTTCAATTACTTGGGAGCATAACCTCCATCACGGGACGGTAGCTGCCTGTCACACAAACTTAATAATCAAAAGCATGTCTTCCACTGTAGTGTCTAGGCTTTATTTATATTAAATATTTTCCTAGAATATAATTCTATTTACTATAATTAACTTATACTAAATATTCCCCTAGGATATAATTCTATTTACTATAATTAACTTATACTGAATAATGGAATATAACTCTAATTATTATAATTAACTTGTACTAAATAATTCCCCAGGATATAGCTCTAATTACTCTAATTATCTTGTACTGAATATTTTCCTTGAATGTGACTCTCCTTTACTGTAATTAGTTCCCGCCCATACGCTGCTACAGTTAGGATGGTCACTCTTCAACCGTTCAGCCCGATCAATCCTCGTCTTCCACCGTTCAGCCAGGTCGCTCCCCGCCTTCCTCCGTTCGGCCTGGTCGCTCCCCGTCTTCCACCGTTCGGCCAGATCGCTCCCCGTCTTCCACCGTTTGGTGCCCTTCTCCTTCTCTCCTATACCTTCTTCTCTCATATACCTTCCAACCTCTAACATTACTCCGTTCAGATACCGTTCGGCCTTTATGGTTAATACCGTTCGGTCTCACTCTCCTCCTGCCTTTCTTCTCCTTCTCATATACTTTTCAACCCTTATTATTACACCTTACCTTATATCCTAACACGGAGATTAGATATTTGTCAAGGAGAATCTCATAAAATATGTCATACAGTATTGTGAGCTGCTGAACCACCATACTGCTGAGCAAGAGCATCCCCCATGCTTTGATACATATCCATTAGAGCTGCAACGATACTACTATCAAGATCCACTTTTGGTACATCAGTCAAACCCATTGCATGGAGTTGGCGTCCTAAAGCTTGAAGACCATATGCATACTGGGCAACATTTGTACGGTCCAAGCAGTCAATGCAGTTGGTACGAAGAACTCCACTCTGAAAATGTGGTGCATCACTACTAAAATTATCTTTTTTATTCTGATGGTTAGTGTCAATCTGTCTTGGTTAACCACCGCACAATATCACCAGAACTAGCTCTTAGATCTCTCAGTGTAGCATCCCTAACAAAATAAAGAATTAGTTGAAAACACAAGTAGAACTTCCATTCTCTAAAGCAACATGTTACGTACCTGAGTACGTAAACTAGCCAAATACAACCTTGCACACTCTCTCACACGTAATAGAACAATAAACACACGTAATAGAACAATGAACGAATAACAATGGATGAATGAATCTCTTTTATTGATGGTAATATCTGAATAAACAAAAGTAACCAATAATTGGGAGCATAACTTCCTTCAATTATTTGGGAGCATAACCTCCTTCAATTATTTGGGAGCATAACCCCCTCCCAGGTAGCCGCCTGTCTACAAAAACTCAATATTCAAAAACATACCTTTCACCCTAGCGGTTAGGCTTTATTTATATTAAATATTTCCCTAGAATATAATCCTATTTATTATAATTAACTTATACTGAATAATAGAATATAATTCTATTTACTATAATTAACTTATACTGAATAATAGAATATAATTCTATTACTATAATTAACTTATACTAAATAATGGAATATAACTATAATTACTATAATTAACTTGTACTGAATATTCCCCGAGATATAGCTCTAATTACTTTAATTATCTTGTACTGAATATTTTCCTTGAATGTGACTCTCCTTTACTGTAATTAGTTCCCGCCCATCCTAACCACGGCTATAGTTAGGATGGTCACTCTTCAACCGTTCGGCCTGATTGATCTTCGTCTTCCACTGTTCGGCTTGATCGCTCTCCGCCTTCCTTCATTCGGCCTGGTCGCTCCCCGTCTTCCACCGTTCGGCCAGGTCGCTCCCCGCCTTCCTCCGTTCGGCCTGGTCGCTCCTCGTCTTCCACCGTTCGGCCAGATCGCTCTCCGTCTTCCACCGTTTGATGCCCTTCTCCTTCTCTCCTATACCTTCTCTCATATACCTTCCAACCCCTCACATTACTCTGTTGGGATACCGTTCGGCCTTTATGGTTAATATCGTTCCGTCTCACTCTCCTCCTGCCATTCTTCTTGTCATATACTTTCCAAACCTTATTATTACCCCCTACCATATACAGTAACACAAAACGTTGCACTTTTACAATTATGATAAAATAAAACTGCAATAGCATTCTATTGGGCTGTCAGCCCACTACATAGACAAACCCAGCCAAAGATTAATATGCTTAGTAAAGGTTTGTGCTGTTAGTTCTACGGTTCCATTTTTTATTTGGTCCTAGGCCACACTTCATGCTGTATTTCTCCTGATGTAAGGAATGAGGAACCAAAAGCATTTCGTTAGGTGAAGACACAAATATTTTGCATCACATCTCTAACTAGGGATGGCAAAAGGGGCTTGGCCCGGAAAGCTTGTTGTACTCGAAGTACAAACAATGAGCAGGACAAACTACTGTGTCTTGAAATCCAACTTCTTTTTCTTTGAAGAATAAGGATGACAAGGATAAAATTCTAGAATACTAGACCAGGGGGCTCTAATTACTAATCACAAAAACTTAGATGATGACAAATGATTTTATATTACATCTCCAACATTTTCAAAAAATTTCATTAGAGCCTCTTCAGGTGCTGTTGCCACCACAATTGCTGTTACATTAACACCATCAAAATAAAACATTCATCGAATTATTTATGCATTTAAGTTTAAATATATGCTAACAACAGAATGTGCTTATCTACTGGAGCCCAGGCTTAAAGACCCCTCGAGGAGAGATAACATAGATATATGACTACTGGTATAATGCTATTATTTCTTGGGTGGCATTGCTACTAAGACCTAGCTTTCCATTGTTATCAGAAATCCTCATCATTCATTACAGATTAAGTCCACTGCTCAATAATCCAAAAACTGAAGTGAAACAGACAAAAATGAAAAGACAACCGGAAACAAACTTCATGTTCGAAGTCCAAAAATAGATAACACAGGAAAGCTTAACTATAGAACAAAACCTTAAGAAATGCAAGATCAAAACAAGAAATAATATGAATTTATTCAATAATTTCATGATTTTCATGGAGACTTCTAGTTCTATGTCTCTTAATTCGGGAAAGTGCATATATTAAAAGTGAGGGCTCTAGAGCAGCAAGTGGTCAAACCTCATAGCAGAAGTATGAATGGAAAACGGAACAGGACCCTGCATTTTTTTTTCGTATCTTTGCTATTTTATGGAAAACAAAAGGGCTTGGTTAGACAATATTGGATAGTAAATAATGTAATTCCATGTTAAGAGTTACAATTCGAAAAATATGTAAAAAAACAGGAAAAACACTGTATTGAATGTCAAGTAACAATTTCTATGATAGATCATACCTTCCTGTGCTAGTTCGATTACTCTTGTTGGCCCTCTTTATTATACTGGGTTTACCACTGTTGTAAAAACCAGTTAAATCAAGCGCTTCACTTGCTACAGCTCCTAAAACTGCTAAAACATTGGCCGACTTGCTTTGAAAAGGCACAAAAGAATATAGAATAGTCACATATATGTTTGAAATGCAGGAAAAGTAAAAGACCACTACTGTGAGACTAAGATAAAGCACAGTAGGCTTACCCTTTTGCAAATTTGTGAAAGTCCCAGTGAATAAATCTAAGATGGTTCTTTACGGGTAGAATTTGGTTACGATAACCATCAGCACTAGCAAATTCATGCCTCAGCATCATTTCTCAAGGCCTTTTCTCAAGGGTCTGCATTTCATCATTTAAATGAGCTACAAGAAACTATAAAATATTTTCTATTCTACGAAAGAAGCAATTTATTAATGCAAACACATGAAACAAAGAATCATATTTGGTAGAGGATTCACAGCTAAAGACAGTAGGGAAAAAAATTCTACCATGCTTGACACGTTGGCAGTGTGTTAGGCTTTTCTTTTACATCTTTATTCATTTGCAATTGACACTTATGATTTGATATGATGAATTAAAAGAACTTGCTAGATTGAAATTCAAATTTCAAATGGGAAGTCATTTGGTAGAAGCACGGGACAAAGATAGAAATCAATTTTCACTAGAAGAACCAGGATTCAAAAAGAAGTCAGGTCCCTTGCTAGAAGAAAAAAGGAATCAATTAACAAGCACAAAGATATTTACTAGCTTTTTCAGCACTAACTAACTATTTTTATTTGAGGAAATACCTTAATCAGATTCAGAACAATAATTGGATTGCCATATCTCTTAGGACTCGAAGTCAAAAGGAAAAGAAAGAACAAGAAAAATAGAGAACTTCCTGCATTATAGTTTATAACAGTATAAAATTGAACAATGAACAAGATAAATATTAATCTCAACTATTTTGTACAAATTGACCAAAAAAGTGATATTGATCCACGCATTTGCACAACTGAACTCATTTTCCCCTTGCAAGAGACAGCTTCTGCATCAAAGGAGAATCTGCTCTGTCTCAACATCATTAGCAACCCTCCCCTGATCATTAACAAGGGGAAGAAATAAACAAAGTACCACCATACTACATCACGGAAACCAATTCTTACTGTTGTTGTTGTACAATGCAAACTTATGATATGACCAGAGGCAGCAGAGAACAATGGACGTGACCTCCTTCATAAGGCATTTTATCATCAAAGTTCCCTACGAATGCCAGTCAACTGGTTCACAAGATCTGTTTCGCCAGATTCTATTAGGATATCAATTGCCCGATCTTTGTACGGAGGTTGCAGCGGAACTGATTTCTTAAGCATTATCTTGGCCAACTTTGTGGCCTCTGCCAGGTGCCTTCTTTGACAAAGGCCAAATAAAAGAATAGAATAAATACTAGAGTCAATGGCAGACAAACATCCCTTGTTCTCAATTGCTTCAAGCAAGTAGAATCCATCCAATATCTTTTCCTTCATACATAGCTCCTTTAGCATAAGTCTAGATGCCAAAGTATCATGTTTGGCATCACCAGAAAGCATTTCCATGAAGAGCTTCATTGCTTCGTCCAGCTTTTTAATCCTTATCAATGAAATCACAAGTGAACTGCAACAATCACCATAAGAAACACCATGTTCCACCACAAACTTATCAATCAACTTGTAAGCTTCTTCTACACGATCCTCAACACAAAGGCTATCAACCAAAGTAAAAACAGTAACATGATTTGCATGGCACCCCGAAGCTTTCATTCTATCCAAAATATCCAATGCTTCCGCCCACTTACCTCCCTTACAGAAACTTTGAATCCCGGAGGTATAAGTAACAACACTTGGACTGCAATCCCCACCTTTCTCCATTTCATCCAACAACTCCAATGCCATTTCCATAGACCCAGACCTACACAAACCGTCTACAATGGCTGATAAAAGGACCAGATTGGGCGAACATCTATGCACTCTCATAACTTTAAGCAAAGAATAAGCATGTTCTGGGCGACCCGCATCACATAATCCTTCTATTATTGTCATGTAAGTAATAAGATCAGGATAAATACCTTTCAAACTCATCTCCTCGGTCAACTTCTCAGCCATTTCAACGTCGCCATTCTTGCAACACAGCCTAATAGCCACATTATATATCACAGTGTCAGCACCGATTTTTAAACTCTGCTCCATCTTCCTCAACACCCACAATGCCACGTCAGCTAGTTGGGCTTCTTTGCACAGCTTCAGAATCTCCCTGAACATGTTAACATTGACTAAACACCTTTCTCTCTCGTAAGACATAACGACATCTCGAATAATTTGAGGATTTTGTTGAATCCCTAGCAATTTACAAGCTTTGTTGTACGTGTAAGCACTATGCCTGTAGCCAGATTGAAATCCAGCCCAAACGAAAAATCTAACTCCCTATAAAGGTTGTTTGGGACTTCAATGACACATTGAGAATCCAGTTTAGGCATCCAGTTTAGGCTTAACCTTAGATAATGAATTTTCAACACTGCCATTGCTTTGGTGGAGATGGGTACAGATGGTATCCGCCATGCCCATGATCATGCGGTGGGTGGAGAAAGGAAGCGTTTTGATTGCGTGGCAGCGCCCGAAAATCAGAAAAGTTGCAAATTGGTGCATCGGGTCAGTGGATGAAAAAGAAAGAAGAAATACGTCTCTGTGGTTGAAAACGTAAAGGGATAAAAGCAGAGTTAAAAGCAGAGTTAAAAGCAGAGTTAAAAGCAGAGTTGCAGAGGGAGAGAGGGAGAATCGCAGAGGCAGAGTTGCACACGAAAGAATGAAGGAAGAAGAAGAATCGAAATGAAAGTTTGAATTTTTTAATTGAGATTATTTTTATGATTTTATTTTATTTTATTTTTCAATTACAGAACATAAAACTTTTACAATTTTTTCAAAATTTAAAACAAATTTTATTTTTTTAAATGATATATTAAAGTTTTATTGGATATAAATATCATAAAAAGTAAAATAAATTTTTACTTAAGGAAAAATATTAATCAATAAAATAAATTCTACAATAATTATACTAAAAATTAAATATATAACATAATATAAAATAATCGAATAAGATAATATTATTTCAATAATATATAACAATTATATTATTATTAATTTTTAATTTGTGGCATGTTTTATTTTTTTATATTTAAATAAATTAGTTTAATATATTTGATTTTTATATTTAAATATATTTGTTATATATAATTTATTTTTATTTAAAAAATTTAAATAAATATATCTAACTTAAGTTTATGTTTAATTTATTATAAATATTTCTCTTAAGTTGTTTTTAGTATAATATAATTAGTATATAATACTATATGTATCTCGTCTTTATATTTTTAATTTTGTCATCCCTCTCGTGTCACTGCCAGAAGAAAGCCAATTCAAGTCACAAAATCCATTAGCATGAGATCCTTCATCGTCAGTTTCATGAGAAGCTACTTTTGCAGCAGAAGAACCCTCTTCGTACTTTCTCTGGCCAAAAAGCCAATTCGGGCCTAACACACTGCCAAGCATGCCAGAATTGTTTTCCTTACTGTCTTTAGCTCTGAATCCTCTACCGAATATGGTTCTTTGTTACATGTGTTTGCATTAATGAATCACTTCTTTTTTAAAATAGAAAATATTTTATAGTTTCTTGTAGCTCATTTAAAAGATGAAATGCAGACAGTTGAGAAAAGGCCTCGAGAAATGATGCTGAGACGTGAATTTGCAAGTGCTGTTGGTTATCTTAACCAAATTATACCCTTAGAACCATCTTAGATTTATTCACTGGACTTTCACAAATTTTGCAAAAAGGTAACCCTACTGTGCTTTATCTCTTAGTCTCACAGTAGTGATCTTTTACTTTTCCTGCACTTTAAACTTATGACCGCGATATTCCAACAACGTATTTTTAACACTGTTTTGACAACGCCACGTGTCATTGTTTGATTGGTTTGTTTTAAAAATAATATTTTTTTAAAACCTACGAAACGGAAGTTTGTAACCCTTATTTTTAGTGAAAATCCGAAAATAGCCCTTTCTCTGTTCCATTGGAAACGAAGGACCGTTCTCTTGAAAGGTCGAAGGTCGCGTTTTGTGTCGCTTCACTTTGTTCTGTGTTCGTGGTGTTTTCTCCGTCCAGTTTCGTCTCCTGTTATCGTGCGGAATGGGAAGTTCCGGTGACCATTGTCCGACGACGAAGGTAAGTGGTTTTCCATTCCATGTCGTAGCTTGGTTATTCGGTTTGGGCATCTCGTAGCATGCTTATTTGGTTTGGGTTAAGGTTTGGGGTTGGTATCCTTGTGTTGTGGTTCTTGGGTTATTGGGTTTCGTTGTTTTGATGATTTTGTTTTGGTTTATGCAGTTGAGTGTTCGTCACTCTTTT